TCAGGGGGATGCAATGTATGTGTCCTTGATTGTACTGCTTTGATGTAGCCTTTTAGAAGCAATACCAAGGGAAGGTGACAGATTATTCTCAGAGTCACCACTGCATTTGGATCACCATTGCTACAGAACAGAAAGAAGGCAATCATTAGAAGAAGTGTTATTTTTTCCCCAGCACTAATGCTGTTAAAGCAATCAGTTTAGTTTTTAATTCTGTAAAGAGTTGTAGCCAAAAGATTTGTGAAATGTTTTGGAGCTTAAAAGGAGAAAAGGCTCCATAAAACCTCAGTAATGACCTAATACAACTTGTCATAATAACTGATTCCCCTGGGTTTCTGAAAAACAAGCTTAGTCTCTATTAGGAAAATTATCAGGAGACTAAAAGATGTTTACTAAGGATAAAACAGACTGGAACTGGTAATTAATCCTTCCTCCCTGCTCAGTGGTGATTAGGCCCCCAGGAGGTTGTTACAAGCTTGAGCAATAACAGTTTAAAATAGATTTTGAAACTTTGCAAGAAGTCCAAACAAGACCAAGGGAAATGATTCAAGAAATTACCAATTTCTATAAGAAATGGAAGTGTGATTAACTTGAAAAGCTTGAGGAAGTATATTTTTTTACTGAAATTTTATACTATGACAAGTGACTTGTCTATTCATTTATTTTATTTTAATAGAGGCTCGTGTATCCCAACCAGGCCTTAAACTTGTGTATCAGAGGATGGCCTTAAGCTTCTGATTTTCCCTCATGACTACCCAAGTACATGCATCACTGTGCTCTGATTAGGAGGTGCTCCAGTTTGAGCCCAGAGTTTGGCATAGACTTGGGAAGCACTATACCAACATCTCCAGCTAGTCCTGGCTTTTAAATTGTGATAAAATTCTACTGCTTTGGTAGATAGTGTTTGGAAACTGAAGGAAGATATCATTTAAACACCAGTTTACCCATGGACATGATGGAGATATTATTTCTGGAACTAATCCTGAAAATTCAGCCAGAACTCTGAAGGAAACTCCATGTCTATCGAATGCTTCCATTCCTTGGCAATCTGTACAAGAAACTTAAATAATAAGAGAAGAAAAGGAAAAGCTAGTTATTTTGTGGATTATTACCAACCTACTTATAATTCTGAAGAATCTCAGAGCCCTAGAAACTATGGACAGGAAACCAGGTCTAAAATAGAATCTAAGGAACTGAGTGAGAGCTGCTGTTGCTTTAATCCCCCAACCCCATAGCCATCAGCTAGGTTCAGTATCATCCAAGGCACAGGGTCCTGAGTCAAGGGGAAATACAGTCGGTTTTTGTGCCACATGGAATGTTGGGTTGTCAGCATCTGGCTTTGAATGTCCTTGTCTGTGAGCAGTGATAGTCACACTTCTACGAGTGATTTGGAAGAATTAAGAGCTTGTGAATTGTCTGACTCAGTGCAGGACTTTGCTGCTAAACAGAGCTGGTACAAGAACAGCAATTTGGCCTTTTACCTACCATTTTAAAAGTGTCCATCACATGTCCTGCTGCAAGATCGTCTCTCTATTTTTTGAGTGACCTTCACGGGCTTCCTGCCACAGTCACAATCACTGTTTCCATTCTAAATGAAGCTGGTTCCAACAGAATGAATATACAACAACCTAACACAGTCAATTAGAAGCAAGTGTGGATGGCAGAAATGACAGATTAGAGAGATGTCAACAGGGTGGGTGGAGGAAGATGTTTTGAGGGCAGAGAAACTTGGGAAAGTGGTACAAAGAGAAAGGGTAGAGCCTGAGAGCAGACCTTCATAGTTCACATAAGTTTGCCCAAAACCAAACTGACTTTGAGAATCCATTAAAGCTATTTACATTGGTCATAGGGGAAAGATTCTTGATGCACTGAGTAGGGCTTCTAGATGTCTATAAAATGTTAACAGAATAGAAGATGTCACCTGAGTTGTTCTCTAGAAGGAAGGACTTCTGTAGTTTGGAAAGTAAGGCATGGAAAATGAACACACATTTTTTTTCTCTCTCCCTGTCTGCAATGAACCTCACTTTACAAACTATTTCCTGTAAGAAAAATTTAAAACAATCTTTTTTTTTTGTTTAAAGATTTTTTTCTTATGTAATTTGATTTGTTTGGCTCTGTTAGATAAAAGAGAAGAAGGACCCTTTCTAGAACACCCAGATCATATTTTATGCATTATTTCTAGAAATAAGGCTTTTAAAATTTTTTCATGCAAAAGGTTCATTGTTCACTGTTATCAAAGCAGTCCTGGCAATCAGAATAATTTTGGATATCTTTTCTTACACACAGTGAAATGGGTTAGGCTTTTATAACATTTGAGATTTCAGTTAACATTACTGAAAAGTGATGAATGTAATTCAAGACATGCAAAGTGAGGGGGAATTATTTATTAGTCTATTTACTTAAGAACCCCTCATCTACAATAACCTCATATTCATTCCCTTCCTTTCATAGTTGGTAAATTTGTTATAGACGAGGCATATTAAAACTAACAATTTTGACTTATATATTTTAAGGTGTCGTGCTTGCAATTATAACTCTAATTAACATCATTTGCGAGCTTTGTGTGCCGTGTAATTGGGATTATGCAGTTTAGCTCGTGTGACTATAAAATAATGCGCTGTGGTTTTTAAAGACAGAGAAGCATTCTCCAGGTTAGGTTTTCCAAACAGAAAGTTGACTGTTATAAATTCCACCTCCCACAGACCAGAATTCATATCCATTGGTCAGGGGCAAATACCAAGGGCTCTGCTGCCTCGGTTACTTTGTGCCACTTCATCAAGTCGGAGCCAAAGGTAAGTTTTTACATTTGTTTTCTTCTTCTTCACCCTAGTATAACAACCTTTAAAAAATAATTCAACTTGCTTTAAAGTCTCCTGCTGGACTTTAATCTAGCAGGTTTGGTTTAACTTTACCACTGACTGTATATTGATATTATTCTTGGAAAATCCAAAATTGTGGATTAGCTTAGGAATTAATAACATTGGGCAAAATAGTTAATCTTAATAGCTGTAACAGATGTGAATAAAATTATAGTGGCTTCCAATATATGCTTTAAACCAATATCCCTGACACTGACCACAGCTTTTGGGAGTAGAGACAGACAATATTGACTGATACTGATTGAAATACTATGCAGAGGTAGAAGCTAGTGATACTTCAGGTGTTTAAAATGTACTGATAATTATATGTCACTTTCCTCTTAAAATGTCTTTTGTGATAAATATTTTAAAGCTTAAAGTAAGCTTTAATTTTTGGACTATTATAATATGAAGTTAAGTGAACAACAAACTGGAAAATGCAACTAACAACTACATTGAATATAAATATAAAGATATATAAAAATATAAAGATACCAGTGTAGAAAGATAAATATTTGGAACAAAACATATATAGACACTCTTATTAGTTTTACTTCACACAAGCTGCTTGTCCTTGTTCTGGTTACTTTATTGGGAAAGTCACATGTTAATGACCTCTCATATGCAGACACTTGTAACCAGAGAGAGAGAGAACATGAAGTGAGAAACAAAATTATTAAGTGCATGTTTTTCTTTGAATGATGGAAATGCTAGACGTGTACAAGGAAACTTTCTTTTCAGTTATATCTCTGCTAATACACTACACTTGACTCTGGGAATACGGTTCATAGAGGATTTGTGAAACATGCTGTCCTGCTACGTAAGACCATTGGTTATTTCTTCTAACAATTCTGAATCCACAACTTGAAAAGGTATTTCCAAAGGCAACAGAAATAGAGCCAGGTAAATCCAGTGTGAAAAAAAAGTATTTAAATTAAACATAGGAAGGCGCTTCAAGTAACTGAAGGTGCGTTTAAGTAGAAAAGTAATAAATTCTCTTCTCTGTGTCTCCTGGGGCACTAACATCACAGATACTGTCCTTAAACTCAAAATGGATATGCAGAACATAAAGTCTTTTCATATTACACATTAAGGAAGAGACCATACTATTTTGCATGGTGAACAATTATAGTGATGAACAATTATAATATTCTTGGTATTGCCAATATAAACACTTAAAATTAAGCATGAGATTTTTGCTCTTAAGCTAAACTGTAGTCAAAGTAGTACACACAGAACTAAAATCCTTTAGATGATGGGGATATGACTGTGTTTGAACTGTTGCAAAGTCTTGCATTATAACAGAAAACAAATTATGCTTGCTAGCAATTACAGAATAAAAGACTGCTCCATTTCTGTGTGTGTGTAAACTCCCTCCTAATCGTGAACATATTGCCTTTCTGGTGTGTATTCTTTTTGTTTTTTGAGTCTAAGTCTCAATTATTAATAATTAAAATACCAAGGTATAAAAGTTAATTTTGCACTATACTAACACATTAGAAAATAGTGCATTAAATATTCATTTAGAAATAAACTGAATTATATATGCAATCAGATTGAAGAGTCAGCAAAGGACTGATAAGAGGGATGACCCTCATTAATTTGTTTTGGAAAGGAAAAGCTTTGGACTAGGATACAAAAGGAAGAGTTACGAGTGTCAGTTGTATCGGTAATGAACGCTGTCTCAGTCTCCTCCTCTATAAAATGGCAAGATAATCAACGGCCATCTTCATCATCATTCTTATTATACATCTACATCCCAAAGTTAATGAGAGTTCTAGTGCTTATTAAGTAGTAATGGGAGCTGTGATGCTCATAATTACCAGCTGGCAAAAGGTTTGTGAATCAATACATCACAAACGTTTCACATCCTAATATTTCCCTTCTTGTGAATAACATGAAACGTGTTTCACTGTAGTTTATATTATAAAAATATGAAGATATGTGTGAATGGAACATTTGGCTTCAATGGTCCTTTGACATTACCAATTTGCATATGTTATATTATTAAATTGCTGTAAAGAAAGCTACCAGCTTGAATTTCTTGAGGCTGACATTGATCAGTCATTTTTGTATAGTGTGAACCATTTCTGAGCTAGTATCAATAATGTATTTGCACAATTTTATATTTTGTGGTTAGGAAAGCTTGAAAGATGAAAATGCTAGCAAGAACTGTCCTGGTACTTATCATCTTCGATGCTACATTGACGGCGCCAACTACAGAGCTCTTTAACTATGACTCAGAAGTCTACGATGCCATCTTGGAAGACCTGGGAACCTTTTACAATTATGAACAGATACCTATCAACAAAGTAGAGGTAATGACTTCTTCCCACACTTGGGGCTTTTAAAAGCATTGAATGATGATTGATAAGAGATTATTTGCTTCTGCAAAAGATTTTGCTTACTTATAAGCAAAGGTTGGATCTCAATTTCCTATAAACATTTGGCTGCAACATGTGCAACTTTTTCAGTATGAATGCTGAGACAGTCTTTTGGTTCCCAACAAGAAAAACAAAACAATAGCATTTTAATGTGTGTGTGTGTGTGTGTGTGTGTGTGTGTGTGTGTGTGTGTGTGTGTGTACATGTGCATGTGCACATATGTTTGCACACCAGGACATGTGTGGGGAGATCAAAGGAAAATTTGATGAAGTTGGTTGTCTACTTCCACCATTTGGGATCTGGTGAGCAACCTTAGGTAGAGGCAAGCGCCTTTACCCATGAACATGTCTCACTAGCCTGAAAAGAGCAACAATCCTTTAAGTTACAAGAGGTACAATTTAAAAAAGCAGTCAGAAAGGAAAGGGAGAGTTAAAACATTCATGCAATGCCGAGAGAAAAACATGTGAGATTAAAACAGACAAGAAGAAAAACAAAAGCAGCCAGAGGGAGCACATTGACTTAGCACTATGCTGTGCACCGGGAGGTAATGTGCATTTCTCAATGGCTGATTCCTCTCCCCAGCAGCAAAGGAGGCACTGGCAAGGTTACAGACCATTACATAAATCTGATAGGACATGTTTCTAATTAAATGCTGGGCTTCTTACACTTTCACATAACTAAAGGATACAGGCTAATTCTCATGAGTCAGAACGCAAACAGACCTTGAACCACGATTTATATACAATATTGACAAAACGTAGATATAAATAAATAAGGGAGAAAATCAGATTAGCTTCAAAGGATCATTGCAAATTTTGGACCCTCCTTCAAGTGTAAATCTTAGAATTACTATTTTTATGGCCTTGACTACAAAATATCTTGACAAGATAATACATTTAACTTACATGAAATGTAAGATGCTAAAATGTTCAATACACTCATGTTGCCTTATGAAACAGAAATCAGATTTCATAACAAAACAATTTTCATACTTTTTCTTTCCTTCACTCTCAGCCTGACTCTTTGCTCATATTTTATCTCATTTTCTTTTGTTTTTAATAAAGTCTCAGTCTCTTAGTGGTTATCTGCCAAAATAAATATTTTAGTCCATACTTATCTGATTTATTTCTGCATTAAAAAAAGAAAAATAATTTGGGGATTAAATACTTAATGATGGTCACCAAAGAATTCTGTTTGAGTATGACTGAGGAGTGGGCTAAGTGTTTTGTTCATTTCCTTCAGAAGAACTCAATGAACAGTTTAAGAAACACAGGTTAGTTCTGAGTCTTTTTCAGGCAAGATTATGAAGGAAATAACTTCATCTACATAAAATGTAAAGTCCACTTATCTCTGTCATAATCCTGTACATTGCCCCAACTGTCCCAGTATTTTTGTAAATTAATGTAATTCCTCCTGCCATGAAGTAATTTGAGAATATGGCAGTATAAAGATGATTTGGTATACAACCTTCCCTCAGTGTTTGCATATTATAAATCAGTGCTTCTTACTCAACCTGTGAGCCATGACCCCTTTGGGAGTTGCATATCAAATATGCTACATATCAGATATTTATATTATAATTCATAACAGTAGCAAAATTATAGTTATGAAGTAGCACCAAAATAATTTCTTAGCACCACAGCATGAGGAACTGTATTAAAGATCACAGCATCAGGAAAGTTGAGAAGCACTGTTCTAAATGAAGATACTCCTATGTTCCCACTACATGGTACCTGTCTCAGCTCTTGCTTCATGCTAATGTCCCTCATTTAAGGCACAGCTCGTGCTCACTTTATTCCTTGAACAAAAGTTTTGAAGAAGAGCTACTTACTATTTCCATTGAACAGATGTCACTATGAAGACGAAGATTTTAAATGACTTGCCTAAGATTTCATGCTAAGGCTACATGTACAAACAAGACTATCTCCCAACAGAAAATAAATTCCCGAAGAGTACTAAGAGATTGTGTATTCCTTCACTTGATTCCTACACTTTTCCAAATTATCCCTTTAGCTTGACATTGTGTTTTTTTATTTTAAACATAATTCTTTATTGATTCATTAGAAATTTCAAATCATGCAGCCCAATCTTACTCACATGTCAGTCCCTCCTTATCTTTCCCTCACCCCTGAAGTATGCCCCTCCAAACTTAATTAAAAACAAAACACAACAAACAAGAAACTTACCTGGCCTCTCCATCTTTCCAACACCTCTTTGTTCATCCTAGTGGCATCAGGAGCTGTGGTGTGTCACTCAGTACATCCCTTTTGTCCAATCAGCCCTACCCAGCAAAATGTTCATTGTAATGAGTCACTGGTCTGGTTCAAGGCCTCTGGTTTCTGGTACACCATCATCACTGGACCCTCACCGAAAAACTCCTCTCAGGACTGAATTCCAAATGCTCCAAAACCCTTACAAGAGCAAGGAAAGCATTCATCTATATTGGTATAATATGAACTAGAAGTAAGCTTATAGATAGCTCTATCTGCAACCTGATTTTGTTTTAAAAAGAATAACTTAAGGCTATAAAGAATAATTGTGCATAGACACTCTGCAATATATGTTTCATTTATTGACAACGGCCTACACACATACATGTACACAAATATATCATGTAGTTATGTGGTGTGCTGTACATTATGTACATACCATATGTATAACGTATATCCCCTATATTTAGTGGTTAGGAGAAAAAGGTTTTGTACTTGCTTGAACCATTCATCAAAAACTTCAGTTTTCAGAGGCTGGTACTCTTTGCTGTGTGGTTTAACTGTTTCTGTTGATTGTGGTTATTTGCTGTTTTTTATTTCCATGATTTAATTTTCAGGTTTTGGATAGTCCATTTCTCCTAGGTTAAAAGGGACTCCAATCTGTCTTAAGGATATTGGACCATCCGTGAGTATTATATTGCCTTAGAAAAATGTTCTGTGACAATTATGGTGCTGATGGCACTTACATCCTTCTATTGCAACCTACAAGACTCCACCTAATTAGACTTCTCCCCACATAAACTACAGCTTAGTCCTATGTATTTAATTTTTCTTAATCTGGACCACACTGACCCCATGTCTTCAATAAACAGAAGCCTTGTATTAGAGAATCCAATGAGGTTTGACACTATGGTTGCTGTGAAATGGTGTGGGGAGTGTGCCATGGTGCCACACAATATTCTTTCTGAAGATGTAGAGGAGGACGGTCTTTCCTGTGACAGTCATAGGAGTGCAAACTTTGAAGGGCTTTGCTCTTGTTTAAACCATATCCTATGCTACTGAATGCTCCCATTAGTCTGCTTTGCCTACTCACAATTCTAGAACTCATCTTTGTCTCCTTCTTCCTTGGGTTCTTGTATCTTCCTCCACCTTTATTTCCTAGTCACCCTAAGACCCTGTGGAGTTTTTTTTTTTTTTTTTGGTTTTTTGAGACAAGGTTTCTCTGTGTAGCTTTGCGCCTTTCCTGGATCTCGCTCTGTAGACCAGGCTGGCCTCGAACTCACAAAGATCCGCCTGCCTCTGCCTCCCAAGTGCTGGGATTAAAGGCGTGCACCACCACCGCCCGGCTTTTTTGAAGAATTCTTATATGCTGTCTTAAAATTGCTTTTTTTAAATGTCTAAATGAGATGGATTAGATATCCATAAGTAAATATTAACAAAAAAAAGGATGGCAATATTTTTCATAAGATTAATGTCCTTGTTTTACCCCTCCAGTGCTGAGGAACAACTTTCTCATCATGAACTTTTAAAGGTTTGTTTTGTTTTATTTAATGAACATGTTGTGGTTAGTTAGTATATGTTTTAAAATTGACAATAAACCTATTATGCATAAAAATAAATTATACATTTTTATGAAAAGGCAGTCATTTTTCATGAAAAAAATCGAGTGGTAGCAATGGCACTGCTTTGTGTTTTTGTGAATCCCATCAGTGCTTGGCCTAATAGAGTGTTAGTTTGCTTTGGTTGGATTCTAAAGAAATCCCACCTCATATAGATACACGGTTGAAAGTATAAAAGTATTTTGGTAACTATTCAAGAGAGTTATGTACATTCTTTGTTGCTAGTCTAGACCAGGGCAGTTGTCTCATATCAGAGATTAATTGTATTGTAGAATCTGAAGCCGCATCCTCATTGGCGAATTCTCTTCTGCTATGCCTTTAAGATCCATTGGTTTGTCTTGCAGCTTGAATGAGTGACTTCCTTGCGCACGGTTTAGCACTGCCCATTGGCTATTTCCAAAATGATTCATTGAGTTAGGTGAATCTTTTAAATGTTCATTTATCTCATTGTATCCAATCAAAACACAATTGTTATCCTAACTACGCATCTCAGAAAAATCATGTAATGTGGACAATCAATGAAATAAAAAAAGAGTGTTCATCTGGATGATTTGTTCTTATAAAAATTGTTTCAAAGTTGAAACAAAGTTTGAGAATTACATTTAAAGATGGTGGTGAATAATTTTCTTCATGGAGTGAAATTATTCCAGTGATGCTGTAGGAATGGGAGAAGGTTGTGAAAAATGGCTTTTCTTCTCCAGTCATTATTATAGTGTGTCCCTCAATGATCTGATCACAGATGTTTATGCACATACAACTTTCAGAAGAGGTGAATTAATTCTGGACTCTTTATTAAAGTCAAATACCATTTTAGATAGCAAAAATGCATTAGGCTGTCAAAAATGAAAATTGATCAAGAATCTTTATTTTATTATTATTATTTTTTTTTTTTTTTTTGGTTTTTCGAGACAGGGTTTCTCTGTGTAGCTTTGCGCCTTTCCTGGAACTCGCTTTGGAGACCAGGCTGGCCTCGAACTCACAGAGATCCGCCTGGCTCTGCCTCCCGAGTGCTGGGATTAAAGGCGTGCGCCACCACCGCCCGGCTAAGAATCATTATTTTTTATATAATACACTTTAATTAAAATATAATTACATCATTTCCTCT